TTTTTAGTAGAGATGGGGTTTTACCATGTTGGGCAGGGTGGTCTCGATCTCATGACCTTGTGATCTGCCCACTTTGGCCTCTTAAAGTGCTGGGATTACAGGTGTGAGCCACCATGCCTGGCCTAATTTTTTATTTTTAGTAGAGATGGGGTTTCACCATGTTGGCCAGGCTGGTCTCAAACTCCTGACCTCAGGTGATCCACTCGCCTCAGCCTCCCAAAGTGCTGGGATTACAGGCATGAGCCACCGCGCTAGGCAAGGTTTTTTTTTTCTTGACTCACAAAACAGATTCTTGATTCTCCAGCTGAGCTCAGGTCCCCTGAGGGGATGAGGCTGAAGCCAGGGAGGCCCTACTCACAACACGCGACCTTCTCCATCCTCCAGCCCACCAAGACAGCTCAGCTTTTATCCAATGACATCTTGGAATTCCCCGAGAAATTTCACATGAAGAAAAAATTCGTTTTGCTTAAAATTGAGTAACTGCTTTTATAAAGAAGGATTTATAGGCCTACAAGGAAGCTGAGAATACATTTAACTGGAAAAGACAGATTAAAACCCAGCAGCTCTTCTCAGTAAGGACAAAAAACTGGAAACAACCTAAACATCCCTCACTAGTAAGCGGAAAAATAATCTGTGGTCCAGCTACACCTTGCAGTACTACTTAGTAATCAAAAGGAACAAATTAGGCCAGGGATGGTGGCTCACAACTGTAATCCTAGCACTTTGGGAGGCCAAGGCAGGTGGATGACCTGAGGTCAGGAGTTCAAGACCAGACTGGCCAACATGGTGAAACCCCCATCTCTACTAAAAATACAAAATTAGCCAGGCGTGGTGGCGGGCACCTGTAATCCCAGCTACTAGGGAGGCTGAGGCAGGAGAATTGCTTGAACCCGGGAGGCAGAGGATGCAGTAAGCCGAGATTGCGCCATTGCACTCCAGTCTGAGTAACAGAGTGAGACTCTGTCTCAAAAAAAAAAAAAAAAGAGAGAAATGAATTACAGATCCACACAAGAGACAGAAGTCTCAGAATCCACTGTGCTGAGTGAAGAACATCAGACTCAAAAGGCAATATATTGTTTGGTTTTTCTCTCTATGACATTCTGGAAGTTGACGGGGAGGGATTAACTACAAAGAAACCTGAGGCAATTTTTACAGGGTGATGGAATGCTCTCCACCTTCATCGTGGTGGCAATGACATATTACATACATTTGTGAAAACTCACGGGAATGGCCAGGTACAGTGGCTCACTCCTGTAATCCCAGCACTCTGGGAGGGAGGTGGGTGAATCACCTGAGGTTAGGAGTTCGAGACCAGCCTGGCCAACATGGTGAAACCCTGTCTCTACTAAAAATAAAAAAAAATTAGCTGTGTGTGGTGGTGGGCGCCTATAATCCCCGCTACTTAGGAGACTGAGGCTGGAGAATCACTTGAACCCGGGAGGCAGAGGTTGCAGTGAGCTGAGATCATGCCACTGCACTCCAGACTGCGCAAAAGAGCAAAACTCAATCTCAAAAAAAAAAAAAAAAAGAAAAGAAAACTCAACTGGGTGCGGTGGCTCACACCTGTAATCCCAGCCAGCACTTTGGGAGGCTGAGGCGGGTGGATCACAAGGTCAGGACATTGAGACCATTCTGGCTAACACGGTGAAACCCCGTCTCTACTAAAAATACAAAAAAATTAGCTGGGCGTGGTGGCGGGCGCCTGTAATCCCAGAGCTTTGGGAGGCCGATGTGGACAGATCACGAGGTCAGGTGATTGAGACTATCCTGGCTAACATGGTGAAACCCCGTCTCTACTAAAAAAACCAAAAAATTAGCTGGGCGTGGTGGCACATGCCTGTAGTCCCAGCTACTCGGGAGGCAGAGGCAGGAGAATGGCGTGAACCCAGGAGGCAGAGCTTGCAGTAAGCCGAGATTGCGCCACTGCACTCCAGCCTGGGCGACAGAGCAAGACTCCATCTAAAAAAAAAAAGAAAAACTCACGGGACTGTACACTGAAAAAGGTGGATCTTGGTGCAGGTAAATTACACCTTAATAATATTAAAATCAACTGGCAGCTGTGTGTGCTTGTAGTCTTTCTGAAGGACACGTGGCTGGAAAGTGGCTGCCTCAGGAGGAGAGGTGATGAAAATGTACAATTGTGATGGTTTCTGTGACTACACTAAAAACCACTTTAAATGGGTGAACTGTGTAGTATGTGAATTAAATCTCAATAAAACTGTTGTAAAAATAATAAAAATAGGCAGGGCACAGTGGCTCACATCTGTAGTAACAGCACTTTGGGAGACCAGTTCGAGACCAGCCTGGCCAACGTGGCGAAACCTCATCTCTACTAAAAATACAAAAATTAGCCAGGCATGGTGGAGTGTACCTGTAATCTCAGCTACCCAGGAGGCTGAGGCAGGAGAATCACTTGAACGTGGGAGGCGGAGGTTGCAGTGAGGCAAGACTGCACCACTGCACTCCAGCCTGGGCGACAGAGTAAGACTCTGTCTCAAATAAAAGTTAAAAAAATAATAATAATAATAAATTTCAGATAGACTAAAGGAAAAACAAAAATGAAACAATAAAAGAATTAAAAGCTTTTTTTTTTTTTTTTTGAGATGGAGTCTTGCTCTGTCACCCAGGCTGGAGTGCAATGGCGTGATTTCAGCTCACGGCAAGCTCCGCCTCCCGGGTTCAAGGGATTCTCCTTCCTCAGCCTCCCCAGTAGCTGGGACTACAGGCGTGTGCCACCATGCCCGGCTAATTTTTCGTTTTTTTAGTAGAGACGGGGTTTCACCATGTTAGCCAGGATGGTCTCAATCACCTGACCTCATGATCTGCCCACCTCGGCCTCCCAAAGCTCTGGGATTACAGGTGTGAGCCACCGTGCCTGGCCAAGAATTTATTTAAAAAAAAAAAAAAAAATTTATTTAAGCAGACACAAAATGCAAGAGCCATAAGCAAAAAAACTGATAAAATTTCACAAAATCATTTTAAACATCCATACAAGTTACAGATTTGATGACAGTATCAGTGCAGAAATGATGGCCTGACCACTAGCAGGGGCACAGGCAACTGCGAGCCATCTCCTGACCTGACCTGGCCTGGCCTGCACTGATGCGTTACAAGTAGATGAACCACGCAGCTGAGCAGGAGTCAAAAAATCCAGAACTGTTGGGTTAACTGGAGACTTCATTTGGGAACCAAAAACTTTAGTTAATAATTTTCCTGGGCTTTGCCACAGTGTCACTCCTGAAAAGTGTGGATCTTTGCTACAAAACAACAACAAAAATTCTAGCCTGGACAACATAGCAAGACCCCACCTCTACAAAATATAAAAAAATTAGCCAGTGACGTAGCTATGATGGCACCACCACACTCCAGCCTGGGTGACAGAGCATGACCCTGTCTTTAAAAAAAAGAAAAAAAAAAGAAAAGAAAAGATCTCTAAGAAACCTAGTTAAATGAAAACAGAGGCAGGGTAGAGGAGAGGGGAATTTAGGTTAGGGTAGCCAGGAAAGGCCCCCTGAGAGCATGTCACCAGTGTAAAACAGAAAGAGGATGAAGAGGAAGAGCATTCTAGGCAGAAGGAATAGCAAGTGTAAAGGCCTTGAATGGGGCTGTGCTGAGCAACACCATGAAGGGAGCAGTCCAGGGCCTCAGCAACACTTCCAGCAACTCCAGGACTATAGACCAGAGGCCGTGTGCTATGACCTGAATGTCTGTGGCCCCCTGAAATTCATATGTTGAAATCCTAACCACCAATGTGATGGTATTAGGGGTGGGGCCTCTGCGAGGTGATTAGGTCATGAGAGGTAAAGCCCCAACTGGGATTAGTGCCCTTATACAAGAGCTCCCAGGGTTCCGATGAGGACATAGCAAGAAGGCACCACCTAGGAGCTAGGAAGCAAGCCCTCCCCAGACACAAAATTGGCTGGTGCCTTGATCTTGGACTTCCCTGCCTCCAGAGCTGTGAAAAATGAACTTCTGTAGTTTGTAAACCACCCAGCCTATGTCATGCTGTTAGAGAAGCCCAAACAGACCAAGACACCAGGTAGCCCCACTCACCCCCTCACTGTGCTGCACCACACTGCCAATGTTATGAAGTGACTGGAAATTCTGGGTGTTCACAGAGCCGAACTCCACAATCTCATCATCCACTTGCAGACCCTGGAAAGGGAAGGAAAAATGGAAAATCAGGCTAGAGGTTCAGTGTGCTCCTGGTGTTCTCTAACCTTCAATACCCAATTTAACGTCAAGGTCACAAGTTTGTTTTCTACAGGGTAGGCTCAGAACAAAGAGGTCAGGGATGTAGACACCTCATGCAGGAAGGGGCAGTGGCTAATGGGGCCACCTCCTCCTTGGGTTCCTTTGAGGGCAGCTCTAGTAAAGATGACCAGGTCTGCCCAATGTCTGAGAGCTGGCAATTACCAGACACTGTGAAGGCCTTGAGGAGCATGGGAAAGGCCAAATGCTGCTCTCTGGGGTCCTAACCCAGGTTCAAGGGTAAGAGAAGGCAAGCCATGCTGGGCCCATTTTATTCAGTGGTCAACATTTAGACAAGACATTTGCCCTAGAAGCCCTCAGACAAGCAGCCACAGGCACAGGGTAGACCCAAGACTAGAGTGACACTCTTGTTTTAGGTCCTAAGAACACAGACGACTACTCATTCACCCCTTTAACAAATATTTGTTGTGGGCCAACTGGCACTGGGGTAGATGCTGTAGATGGGGTAGTGAACAAGATGGAGCTTCTGTGCAACTTACAGACTTGTGATCATTAAAGAAGACTGGTAGGACCAGGGTTTAGGACCCCATTCCACCTGTTAGGAACTATGTATCCTGACACAAGTTACTTCAGGTCTGTGAGGCTTTTTCTCGAAGATGAAATGAGTAAAGATTAGGACCTACCCCTGAAGTGGCTGTGGAATTATATTTAACTACATCTCCACAAAAAAAAATCTATAAGAATGTTCATAGCTGGCTGGGCGTGGTGGCTCACGCCTGTAATCCCAGCACTTTGGGAGGCCAAGGCGGGTGGATCACGAGGTCAGGAGATCGAGACCATCCTGGCTAACACGGTGAAACTCCGCCTCTACTAAAAATACAAAAAATTAGCCAGGCGTGGTGGCGGGCGCCTGTAGTCCCAGCTACTCAGGAGGCTGAGGCAGGAGAACGGCGTGAACCTGGGAGGTGGAGCTTGCAGTGAGCCGAGATTGTGCGACTGCACTCCAGTCTGGGAGACACAGCGAGACTCCGTGTCAAAAA